GACGTCAGCGCGCAGCGTGCGTCCGGAAGGCGGGGTGTGCGTGAAATCCGACTCCCGTTCCCGGAGGAGACGGTGGAGGGGCGTGGCCTGCGGCAGGACGTTTTTGATTGGTGGCTTCTGCCACCGCCGGGAAGTTCGAACGGACGTCTGGGACAGAGCCGGGGACCGCGAAGAAAGAATGAGCCCCAGAAACTGCGCAGGAGCGCGGCAGGTGTGGCGCATGCGCGGCCGCCGTCCAGTGACGGGAACGGGGTGTTGCGTACACGCTGGGCGGGTTCCCTAGGCTCGCCTGTCAGGTGAGGGTTTCTAGACCTTTGAGCTTCCAAAGGGACACAGCCCCAAAGGTGTAAGGGGAATAATTCTGCCCTGCAGAGAAATCTGTGCTAAGGCCCCTCGGTGCCTGGGTAAAGGGGTCTCCCTCTTCTCGCACGCACCCTGGAGTGTTGTTCGTAGATACACGAAGATTTCTAAGTACATACGAATTTAGAGTTTGAGATGGAGTCTAATGTATCTCTTATTGGCAGCAGGGAGCAGGGCACATGGATTGGGACGGGAACAATGGGGGCAAGACGTTACTTATTCTACATTGTCTGTCCTGTGCTGTTTTCGGGCTTTCACAGGCCAGTTTGCACAGTGGGAAAATCAGGTGCCCTGCAGCGCCCGGAGGCCAGGTGTGCAGGGTGAGGCTCGACCGAGCGTGTGCTGCCCGCACACGGAAGTGTGAAGGTTCTAAGCCAGTGGCTCTCAACCTTGGCTGCACATTATTAGCTATAATAATCTGGCCACTCAGTGTATATACTTAGTGACATCATAGAGGCATAATATGCCATCCTATTCTGGTCTAAATTATTGAATTCCAACTGCCATCATAATAGTGTAACCAAACAGAAATTATTTAATTGATATGACTAAAGTAGATCTGCTTTCTAAAAATGGCTGGTTAAAAAGAAGCAGAGACTAATTATACGATAATGGATCCATAACAATATGCAGGCAACTAGCCTTTATTTTGCACATCCCGTACATGTTACTTTCTCTCTTGTTAGTACAGAATTGCTGAAACATAATCCAAAAGCCCAAATATGTACAAGTATTTCAAATGCAGGTTTTGATTTTTGTAGTCTTGTTTTTAGGTTGACCTTTTAACTGAATCTATCACTATTGAATCATATGGGGAGTTCTTTAATTTTAGAAAGAAAATTAATCATAGTAAAGATAAATACTACAAAGTTATCTCAGTATCTCTAATAATATTGAGGTCATTAAGAAATACAAATAAAGATTTAAAGGGCAGAGTGGAGGTACAGACTGAAGTAAGCACAAGTTTTTCGCCCACTGGCAAGGATTTATGCAACCCTACAGGACCCACTTTCAGAGAAATTAACAGCTCTCAATTCATCAGTTGACTTATGGTCATAGGAATTGTAATTCCTTCTCATAGGTCCCGTTTACAATAGCATCAAAAAAATAAGATACTTTTGAATAAATTTAATGAGAGAAGTGAAGAACTTGTATACTGAAAGCTACAAAACATAGTTGAATGAAATTAAATAAATTCCTAAATAAATGAAGGGCATATTTGTAGATCAGAAGACTTAATATTGTTAAGATGGCAGCTTTCTCCAAATGGATCTATAGATTCAATGCCATCCCTATCACAATTCCAGACTGCCCCTTGAGTGTGTCACTTCTGGATGTGTAGAGTTGTAATCGGGTATGGTCTGACACTGACCACTGGGTACACTGGCTCTTGGGTCTCCAGGGAGGTGCAAAGTCAGCCACTGCCTGGGGCTACCCAGCAGGAGCTCCGGAGAGATTTGCAGATTCCTCCTCTTTGTATTGGGTTTGGAAGTGCCCAGATGAGGTCCAGCTGTGAAGCAAGGCAGGTGCCAGGTCTTAGGCCTTTTTTATTGATATGTTTGGGGCTCCCTAACCCAGCTGCAGCTTGTTTGAGATTTTAGTCTGAGCAAGGACTGGCCATTCATATGCAAAAGCTGCTGCCCACAGATTGGATGGGGTTGTAAAATTGGATGAGGCGGGGTCTTAAGGAATCACCAGGGCAGAGCAAACAGAAATGGCTGCCAGTCAGCCCTGCAACCAGAGAGGTCCTCTCTCTGGGAGAAAGTCACCCCGGAGTTCCTGCCCTGATGCCAGACAATCCAGTTCTTCCACATATGTGTCTGTGCACCCCAGAGCCTCGCCCTGGTGCTGGAGCTCAGAGGAAGCAGAACTTTGTAAGTTCAGTTTATGGTGTTGGCCTTTTAAGAGGAATAGCTGGGTCTCCAGCAGCCTCTGTGTCACTGAGTCCCAATCCACACTGTTTTTTTTTTTTAATTTTTTATTACAAAGGGTATTACATATGTGTCCATTTTTCCCCCTGCCTCAGAGGAACAGAACTTTGTAAGTTCAGTTTATGGTGTTGGCCTTTTAAGAGGAATAGCTGGGTCTCCAGCAGCCTCTGTATCACTGAGCCCCAGTCTGCACTGGTTTTTACAGTCCGTAGTTCTTACTGCCTGTAGGGACTTCTTTTCCCAGCTCTGGGACCCTGGTCTGGGTGTCTGGTGTGGGTCTGGGACCCTTTCCTCCCCCATGGCAGCCTCTGCAGAGTCGATCTCCCTCCCCATTAAAACAGTGGCCCACATGGGTGCCAGACCAGCCAGTTATGCGCCTCCGCGTCTCCTACCAGCCTCAGTGTGCTCCCTTCTTGACCTCTGTAGTTGTAGGACTTCCATTCAACCAGCTTTCCAGCAGTTCCGGATGATAGTTGTTCTGTGTTTTAGTTGTAATTTTGATGTAGTTGTAGGAGGCAGCAAGTACAGGTGTTTACCTACACTGCCATCTTTCTTGATGCCCTTTGCCCATTTTTAAATCGGGATGTTTGTTTCCTTATTGCTGAGTTATAAGTGTTCTATATAGATTTTGGATACCAGTCTTTTACCAGATATGTGTTTTG